GATTGCAAGAGGGTGCAGGCTGGGCTGAGGGGGTCTCCTCCCCGCCCCTGCACAAATTTCATGCACCAGGCCACTAGTTTTTAATAAAAGTACTGTTTTTCATTCTAAATTTTTATAGGTATGTTTATGGTCCTTAATTGATGAATGATTAAAATCAAAGAAAACAGTTTTCTCTTAGAATTCTCATTATTGACTTTATTTTTAGACCATTGAGTCATTGATTTAATTGTTGATTAAAATAAACTTGTGATATTTACTCTCAGTTTTAGATGTACCAGGGTCTATTCTTTGTAGTCTTGAAGGATCCCAGGAGAAAATGAATCCACTAAATCTACTGGGAACCTTGTAATTAAGGCTAATACCAGTGGAATCATACCACAAAATCCCTCTGATTTTAAACCTGAGGGGTTGGATCTAAACTGTTACTGTCATCTCTGCCTTTTTTTTTTTTTCCAATTTTCTTTATTTTTCTTCTTTTTTAAATTATTATTAAGGTATTACAAATGTGTCCTCATCCCCCCCACTGCCTTTTAATTATAGTCAAGTATCTGTTCTAAAATTTTAAAATGCAGAGCTTTTTCAGCAAATTTGTTTGACTAACCAATATTAAACTGGGAACCCAAGGGCAAAGACTCTTACTTCTGTTATACTTGAGGCCCGGTGCGTGAATTCCTGCACGGTGGGGCCCTCTGGGTGACCTGAGGGGATTGGGCCGAAACCCGCAGTCCAACCCCGCCTGCAGTTCCTACCTGCCACTCCCACTCATCCCGGCCCCACTGCAATTGCTGCGGGCTCGTGCCCAATCAGTCCTGATCAGGAAAGGCTTGCACTGCCGCAGCAACGCGCTCACCAGCCGTGAGCCCTGTGTCTGGCACCCTCCCGAGGGGAGTGGCCTTGGGATCGGACTGAAACCAGCTCTGACATTCCCTGAGAGGTCGCAATTGCGAGAGGGCGCAGGTCAGGCCAAGGTACCCCACTAATGCAAGATCAGGCTAGGGAGAGACTGTGGGAGGGCTCCAGGGCGTGTCTGGCCCATCTCGCTCAGTCCCGATCAGCTGGACTCCAACAGCAAGCTAACCTACCAGTTGGAGTGTCTTCCCCCTGATGGTCAATGCATGTCATAGCGACTGGTTGACCAGTTGACTGTCTGCCCTGTGGTGGTCAGTGCACATCATAGTGAGCAGTTGAGTGGCCTTAGCATATCATTAGCATGTTACGTTTTGATTGGTTGAATAGTTGACTGGTCACTGGATGACCAGACACTTAGCGTATTAGGCTTTTATTACATAGGATTCTTTGAAGTATCTAACACATTGGCTACAAAAGATGCTTATTTTAATGTATGTTTTTATAATATATGTTAGGAAATATAGGGATGGTATCTTCTTGGAAAGTAAGAAAGTATTGTATGGCTTATTTTGTGGCAGTACTGTGTAATAGAAATATGTTTAAACCAGATAGGTCATTTAAAAATTTCCAATGCTACATTAAAATAATTGAAACAGGTTAAAATAACTTAAATATCTTTGAAATAACCCATTACATTACTTCAATATCATATAAGTGTACAAAATTAATGAAATGTTTTACTCTTTATGATACAAAATCTTCCAAATTCGGTGTGTATTTTATAGCCATATTTCAAATGCTCGGTTAATTATATTTATCTAATAGCTAAAATATATTGGATAGTGCAAAACTAACCTAGACTAGCAAGTGTAATTCCACTTAAAAAGTACTCTCAATTCAGATGCTAAACAGTTGGTCTATGTTTAGATACTATAAAAAATTTGCAGTTTCAGAGGTAGAGTCACATACCCAAGTTCAAACATACTTAAAAGTTTTTCAGTAGTTAAGTATTGTGTTTTAAATTAAAAATCAAAATGGTTATTAAGAAAGTACAACTAAAAACCATAAAGAGTCCTAGCTGGTTTAGTTCAGTGGGTAGAGTGTCAGCCTGCAGACTGAAGGGTCTCAGGTTTGATTCTGGTTAAGGTCACATGCCTGGGTTGCGGGCTCCATCCCCAGTGTGGGGTGTGCAGGAGGCAGCCAATCAATGCTTCTCTCCCATCATTAATGTTTCTATCTTTCTCTCCCTTTCCCTTCCTCTCTGAAATCAATAATAATAATAAAAAAACCATAAAGATACTACTTCTTAGATGGTTTTAATAAAAGAAAAGAAAAATATTTGGCAAGGAGATAGAGCTGATGGTTATACAACATTGTGAATAGACAACACTAAATGGTATTCTTTAATAGTATGATATGTGAATTTCACCTCAATCAATAATAAAAATTAATTTAAATACAATTAAAAATTTGGTTTCTTAGTTATAGTAGCCTTACTTGGCTCTTGGCTCCTGTAGTCGACAGGCTCATTCTATGGCAATATGGTAAACTGTAGAAGATGGAAACTTTAAAAAGCATTATTCTTTCTTGGTACTCAAAGCATGTGTAGTAAATTTTTACATTCTAAGAATTCAGTAACCATTAGATCCTAAACTTCTCATGGTCGGCGTCTATAGCTGAACATTCTTGGTGCAGGCTATCGGAGGACCACACAATATTCATAGGGTCCTTGTAAGAAGTAAATGCAATATTATTTTAAAGTACAGGATATGGCTGACTGCTTCTTTTCAGGGATCCCATAGCACTCTGTACCTTACCCCTGATGGTAGTCCTTTGTGAAATTACTTTATATGTATGTCTTGGTGACCACATGTAAGTAAGCACTTTCAGGGTGAGAACTATATCTGTCATCCTTATACTGACAGAATCTTGCATAGTACTGCATAGTACATAAAATAGATAATGATTTGAACTAAAACCTTGAATCACTCCTCTGCCTCTTAACTTAGTGTGCACCCTAGAATGGGCAAAGATTTTTTATTAGTAATGCTGAGTACCAGTAGAGCCCATATGTCTCTGTATTTCAAAGTAAAAAGAATAATTATTAATGGCATTATATAAGGAGCTTGCTGTAAAGTGTTTCAGCCAGCATTGGTTTTATCAGGTTCTCTAAGCAGTTCATTTCTGCTGATACATAGAAATATACTATAATGTAAAATGAATGGAAGGGTTGAGTTGGGAGTAGTATCTAGATAATGCAGTGAAAGTGTAAGGATCTCCTCAAAGGAGGATGAGCTCCTTTTCACTTAGGCAGTTTTAGAGAGACTTTGTGAATAAAATTAGGATCTCTACTAATAAGGATTGGGTTGTGCTTTTAGAAGTTTAAAATGGTAGAGGTGCCTATTGATAGAAAGACCCTGAAACATGTAGATTTTTTGTGACGTTACCTACCTAAAGTGTAATATAAATCGAACCACCTAGGAACAATCTCATGCATGTAATAGATTAAATGTAACAGATTTGTAAGGCTGGACTTTGGTTGTCAAGTCAGAAACTAAGTCAATAAGTTACTAATAGAAAAGATACCAGCAGTCTAGCTGTGGGTTTTGCTGTTTGGGGTTTATTTTGGAAAATGTTATTTGTTCTATTTAACATTCATTTGTTGAAGACCTGCATATATTATTTCCTAAGAGCTAACTAGAAATCATCCACTTTTACTATAACTAATTTGTATATTGTGATTTTTAACATATATGCTAATTTTAGTGATATCCAAGCGTTCTGCATTCATTGTCGGAATAGCAGATCCACCAGGTTGACTTCGATATCTAAGCTTTTGTTTTCTCAATCTTGTAAGTATAGAAGGCTGAAGAGGCAGTAATTAATGGAACTTATAGAGAAGCTGCATAAGCCCAACTCTGAGCATAAGTCTTCTGTGAGAGGCTAGATTTAATAGTTTAAAAATCAGTGTTACTGCCCTAGCTGGTTTGGCACAGTGGATAGAGCGTTGGCCTGTGGACTGAAGGGTCCCGGGTTCGATTCCGGTCAAGGGCATGTGCCAGGATTGTGGGCTCGAGCCCCAATAGGGGGATTCAGGAGGCAGCCGATAAATGATTTTCTCTCATCATTGATGTTTCTATCTATCTCTCTCCTCCTTTCCTCTCTGAAATTAATAATAATATATATTTTTTTAAAAAATCAGTGTTACTGCCTGGCCGGTATGGCTCAGCTGTTGAGCGTTGACCCAGGAACCAAGAGGTCGCCAGTTTGATCCCTAATCAGGGCACATGCCAGGGTTGCTGGCTCAATTCCCAGTAGGCGGCAGATTGATGATGTTCATCTTCTCTCATCGATGTTTCTCTTTCTCCCTCTCCCTTCTTCTCTGTCTAAAAATCAATAAAAACATTTAAAAAAATCTGTATTACTACTTCTCTTTCCTATCTGTTAGAATAGCAGGTTGGTTTTGAAATAGCATATGTTGTAAGATAAAAATAATTTTAAAAATCTAGAATGCAAGTAGTTGGTAGGTATCTAGTTCTTTGGTGTAAAATAATGTATTGCTCCTCTTACAAAAGTGGTTAATTCAAAACCAGATTTTTCTGGAAAGAAGGTTCCACTGTTTTTGTCTTGTGAATAGTGGGAAGAGCAATAAATTGGGGAGTCATGAACTTGAATTTTATTTTCCACCTCTGCCACTACCTAATGTATATGACTTTGGGCAACTTATAAAATAAAATGAAAGAGTTCTTATTTTCTGGAATTAGTTCTATAGCTTGCTGATTTACTTCTGAAAATTTACTTCTTCCCAACACAGTATCCCTGATTTGCTTTTTTACTTTTATTTAGTGTGTTGTTGGTGGCTGCAATGCCAGCTTTGCTTCTCAGGGAGGGCTTGCTCGCCACGTACCCACACACTTCAGTCAGCAGAACTCCTCAAAAGTTTCTAGCCAGCCAAAGGCCAAAGAAGAATCTCCTTCTAAAGCTGGAATGAACAAAAGAAGGAAATTAAAGAACAAAAGACGACGCTCATTACGTAAGTGTTTCACTGAAAATCTGTGTGTATTACAATGCTTTTGTTCATATCTTATTCTTTCATGAAAAACAGTTTTTACTGTTCTTCAACTCTGCTTATCTCCTTTTGTTAACAGTAATAAACAGATAGGATAACTGTGGGACAGTGTGAGAATTCAATAACAGTTTTATCTGTAGTAGCTAAGAGAGTGTGAGTCTATATATATGGCTTTAAAATACAAACTATATAGAATTATATTTTGAGGGCTACTTTGATTTTGTTCTAAGAAAATTTAAAACGTGGCGGTGTTGATGTTTCTAATAGTTTTTCTAAAAAATTGAACATGCTAAAGGTAAAGTACAAGTAAAAGTTAAGATGGGTTATACCTGCTCCAAAGTGATGTGTGTGTGAATAGCAAAACTATTTTTGTGTTTCAGCACTTCACAGTCTATTGTAACACACACATAACAATTGTTATGTACTTAATTACTAGATTATAAGATATATTTTGGACATTTAGGGTAGAACACAATTAGATGACAAGACTTGTAAATGTTGGGAGCAGGAATTGACTTTGAAACCCCAGAGCCCTGCCTGGTTCATAGTGTCCACTAGCTCACTAAATATATCTTGAATGAAGAAATATGAGGGAAGCTATCATTGAAACGGGAGGCCACTGCAAGGGTGAACTAGAAAGAAAAAAAGATTGCATCTTGTTTTTTCTTTTGGGATTTTTGAGTAGAGTATAGGAGAAACTCCAGACACTAATCCAGACTATAAAGCAGACAGTTATCTCTAAAACATTGAAATATTTTTGTTACTACAAAGCTACAGTGGACAAATGAACACACCACAAATGAAAAATAAACCTCTTTAAACTGTTAACTTTCTTATTGTTGAAATTAAACACTTATTTTTCAAAGTTCTATTGAATTTAGGTTATGGATCCAGTTACTTTTTGATTATGAGGCTTACCAGTTTTAAAAAAATGCTTGTGTACATAATTCTAACATATGTATATAGTATATACGGGTAATACTGCTAATGCACATCATAAAACAGTTACCAAGAAGGACTATTGAAAAGCAGTGAGTTGAAAAGTGATATTTTCTTCCTTACTCTAATGCAGCAGTTCTCAACCTGTGGGTCGCGCCATCGGAAAACACATATAGCATATCAGATATTTACATTACGATTCATAATAGTAGCAAAATTACAGTTATGAAGTAGCAACTGAAATAATTTTATGGTTGGGGGTCACCACAACATGAGGAACTGTATTAAAGGGTTGCGGCATTACGAAGGTTGAGAACCACTGCTCTAATTGATCATGACACCTACTTTGGAGACTATTGTTCAAGTTTAGTATTCTTTTTTGTTGTCGTTTATGCTCACCTGAGGATATTTTTTCCATTGAAAAAATGAATGGAGAGAGGTGTGTGGTGGGGGAGAAACATCGATGTGAGAGAGACACATGGATTGGTTGCCTCCACGTGTGCCCTGACTGGGGCTGGGGATCAAACCTGGAACCCAGGTACGTGCTCTTAACTGGGAATCGGACCTGCGACCAACACTAAGCACTGAGAAATACCGGCCAGGTGAAGTTTAGTATACTTTGATACTTTAATAGTGGACATAGCATGGTTATGGTCTGAATAGAATAGAATCTTAAGTTTGAGGGCTCCTTATAAATTTAATTCTAGTGATGACATCTATGTTTGAATCTTGAATGGGGAGTGGTAGATTTGAATGATTTAGAGAAGTTATTTTTCTTTTCTTTTTAAACTTTATTTTTATTGTTGACACTATTACAGATATCCCTCCCACCTCCCCCCACGTTTTGCCCACCTCCACCTATTTTTATTTTCTCCAAGTGCTTATCCTTCCCAGGAAAAAGCATATTTGGAGAACATAGAGAAAGTATACTTTTTTTCCCAGTAGTCACAGATCTAATGGGAAGACGATCTGTTTCTTAGCATTAAGTAAAATCATACCTCTTTTCTCCTATATATGTTAAATATTTTTTCTTTTTAATTTCTCATTACTTCATTCTTAGTCTTATGGGTTCTGCTAGTTTGTTACTAGTTGGTGTTTTTCTTATTTCTTTCTGAGAAAAATCCAATGACAACAGAGGTATCTAGGTTGCTTTGCGAATGCCAGCTTGTAAAATATCCCCTGCTCTCCCCAAAAGCTCTGGTGGATTAGTGTAGATGTTCTGACAGCTCCATGAATGGTGGAGGTAAATCCAGTATACATAGTAGTAAATCAGAATAGTAAATCAGCTACATGTAATTCAGAATATGCTGTACTGTGAAATCAAGCCATTTCTTCTGTTGTTGGTAAATTTTAATTTTTAATTACAGATGATCTTATAAGATTACATGTATCAATAAGCTCCATAGTTGTAAAACAACAAATTAATTTTCCTTATTTTGAGTAATGTTCTAATTAAGAATAAAAATAATATAATTTGTAATATTGGTGGGATGAAAATAAAATTTTTTAAATGTTCTTACCAAATTAAATCTTCAGTGTATAAGTTTGTTGTGAAAACACTAAAAGTTTGCTTTACTAGAGTTATTTATAATCAAGAAATACTTACCCAAAACCCCCAAATAATATTACCACTGTTAAATTTGGAAAAATTTTGATTACATATTAATGTAAAATGTTCATGAAGTGCATTCCAAATATTTGTGGTGAATGAGATCTCAGTGTGTTACATAGATGGAGGTGGTCATCAGATTGTTGAAAATGCAGAGTGGTGCTCGGAGAGATATTGGAATAAAATACCAAATTATATGAAAAATATAGTAGCTGAAATGTGGAATCATAAGTTCTGAAGTTAGAACTTCACACACCAAGAGGCCGAATTAACTTTTATATGCATTCATTAGTTGGGATTTTGCTTTTGTACATCCTTATCTTGTCAGCTAGACTCTGTATTTTGAAAGCAAAGAAAATTTTGGATTTAAACACTACATTGATACTTCTTAATTGTTTCCATCTTATTACATATTTTCGTGGAAAATGGACTACATGGTTGTTTAGCAGACTGTTGTACTTATGTATGTATTCTTTATCTCTTTTGTATTGATTTTTAGCACGACCACATGATTTCTTCGATGCACAAACACTGGATGCGATAAGACATCGAGCCATATGCTTTAACCTCTCAGCTCATATAGAAAGTTTAGGGAAGGGACACAGTGTTGTTTTTCATAGTACTGTAAGTATTTGTTTTTGTTTTTGTTTTTTAAATTATTTGCATAGGTTTGTGAAAATGTGTATTTTAACTTTCTAAATTGCTCAAAATCTACAAAAATACATTTTAACAAGAAAAACCAAAACTTTTTGCTTTACAAACATTAAAAGTTTTTTTCTATTATTGGTTATAAAGCAATATTGTCCACAATTTGACATTTATTATTAGGTTGAGTATTTTAGCCTTTACTTTGAGCTATTTGGGAATATTGGGTTGGCATTTGGGCCACTAGGCATAGTTGGTGTCTTTTTTCACCTGGTTTCCTCATTTGTAAAATTAGAACATCAGACTTAACTTTTAAGCTCACATCCCTGTATACTGCATGCTCCTCTCTCACACCCAAACATACATCTAATTTCTGTTAAATAGAAAATGGATAATGGCTATCAAATCAAAGCTTTGTGAAGGGAAGGGGTTTTCATTCTGTTGTTTTCCACTGATGTATCCCAACTTTCTTCAGGTGTTTGTCTCTGACACATACTAGGTACTCATTATAGTTGCTGAATTATTATGTTGCTCAGTATAGAAAAAGAAAGCTATCAAATTGAAAAAGCAGTACACAACATAGTTTTGGTTGACTAGAAGTTAATCGAGTGTTCTCTCTTCCCATGCTACTTGCCATTTTATTGTCCGGTCATCTTTAAATTACTATAGTTTGGTGACAGTAAGTTAGTAGAAGTAAAAATTTTAGACCCGGCTCTTAGTGATTTGAATCCCTGGAAAAAGAGGTTTAATTTTGGCTATTGAAATATAAAACACACTAAATTAAGGTTGTATTTTCATAGTTTAATTAAAATGCATGAGAATTTAAATACAACATGTCAATATTGATGATATCAGTGACTCCACTGGTTTGAATCTGTATTTTTTCCGTCTCCTATAATAAATTTCCAATTTTGATTTTTATTTCCAAAATTAAAGGCAGGAAATTAAAAGATTAGACAAAAGAAAGGGAACCTTTTCTGAAATTGAAACACGTGAGAGAAGTGAGTTTGGGTTGGAGGAAAGGTATAGTATCTTACACTCTTATAAAGAGCATTAGAGATGTCCTATATAGTAAAAGCCCAGTGACCAAATGCAGAATGACTGGTTGACCAGTCACTATGACGCACACTGACTACCCGGGGGCAGACATTCAACACAGGAGCTGTTTCCTGGTGGTCAGTGCGCTCTCGCAGTGGGAGCAGCCGCTCAGAGGGCGTGTCCACGGCCGCTCAGCTGACCAGGATGACCGGTGCTCCCACAGCGGGCCTATCCTTGCGGGCCACACACCCCCATACCAGTGCACGAATCCCATGCACCTGGCCTCTAGTAGTTATATCAATAAAGATGGAAGGGTTGGAAGGAAAATTAGAGGGTTTGAAGGCAAAGTGCTTGCGCTGGGAATTTTATTGGAATTCAGCAAGATCAGGAGCGTGCTCAGCTGCCTTCTTTGAAGTTTCATATGTAGGTGTATGATTTGGTAGGTCTATAAATTGTTCAATGAGATGTGGTTCCCAAACGCATAGTGTAGCAACTAGGATAATTTATTTGCTTAAATATTGATCACCTACTGTGTGCCACATATGGATGTAGCAATGAACAAAACAGGCTAAAACAAAACAGTAAACCATGCATTCCTGTACTCTAGTGGAAGAGACAGGATAAACATATTAATTAGTAAAAGAAAGTGATGGTATGGGCTATTTAGTTAGATTCTGGATAGCTTTTGAAAGTAGTACTGATAAGAATTATGGATGGATCACATGCCAGATGTAATAAAGGAAGGAAAGGATGACTTCAGATTTTTTTTGCCTGGGCAGCTGGCCAAAGGATGGAATTGCCATTTAAAACAGAGGCTGTAGTGGTGAGTAGATCAAGGGAGAGGGATGTATTAAGAGCTCTAATTTCAGCACTTTCTGTAGAGCCATATAATGCCTGTGTCACCACGTAGGGAGATGGACACAAGTTTGAACTTAGAGGATAGGAGTGGCCACAAATTCAAATAAGGTAGTCTTCAGCATAATTAGTGGTATTTAAAGATATCAAACAGGATAAGATCACTAGGAACTCTTTAAGTATAAATAGAAAAGAAGAAATTTAAGGACAGGTTTGGGGCTCATTAACATTTAATAAGCAATAAACCCAATGAAATAATGGTCTAATAATGAGCAAGTGTCTCAGCATATTAGGGGATAGGGAGTGGTGATGTGATAAAGAAGGTTGTATTTTAAAAAGCAAAGTTCCAACTTTTACATGCTTTCATTAGAGCAGCTCCTGTGATAAAATCCTTAAGTTTACTGTGGAAAAATTGAGATGATTATAAAAAAAAAATGAAGGAACTACCAATAATGGTGATATAAGGAGTTTGGAAGAAATTTAAAAATTTACTGACAGTCAAAGTAGTCTGTGACCTTGAAAATAAGTTTTCTAGCTGTAGAAAACATCTGAGAAATTTTAAGAACATGAAACCTATGTTTGTCATAAATTTAAGAAACAGGAAGAAGAGTGACTTGCCGCCCCCAAGTGACACTAGGGAGGTACAGGTAACCTTGACTGAGGGTGGAGTATGATCTGGAGAATGCTTTTTTTCTGGGGAAAGTGGAAGGAAGAGACATCCATAATTGGAAAAGGTGTTTGTTGGACACAGTAGAACGGAAAGGAGCTGTTTCTCGAAGTTCCATGGCTGGGAAGATTTTGATGGAGGCAGTATGTGTTAAGCATAATCACTTCTGTTAGCAGTCAGATTTTAAGTTTCCTAGTTATTAAATTAACTTTTATAGGAAATAATCATACCGATAGTGAAACCATTTGGAGGAAAATGTATCTGTGAGGCTCTGTGCTATGCAGTTTACCTAATTTGTCTTCTTTAATTGAAACATTTTCTTTCGAGCCTTCTCCAGAAGAGGTCAGCAGATTCCTAGTTACCAGTCAGTTGGCTTGCTGTGCTTGCTTGGTTTGCATTGTTTTCATATCTTTTTTTTTTTTTTTTGGTCGGGGTATTTCAGCTCTGTCTTTGTGCTTTTTAATTAATCTTATTGTCAAGTCTAGAATGGGGTCTTGACTAGAGGTTTTTCAGAATGGAGATAGAAAGTTTCATTTTTGCATAGAGTGCTGTTGTTACTTAGTTCTAATATGTTTTGAGGATGACAATTTTGTGTGACTTTTTAGAATTTAAACTTGGTAAAATATTGAGATTTAGATTATTGAAACACTAACGTGCTAATTTTGTTAATATGGAAATTGTAAGTTACAAAATACCATCTTGATCTATTTTTGTTTAAGTATTATCTCAATTTTCAGAATCTGGTAATGAATGGCAAGTACATTGTTTTTCTTACCCTTCTACAGGTCTTTTTGTTCAGGTTGATCCACCTTTTAATTTATGTGGATTCCTTAAGATTGAACCTAACACTGTTTGGCTGATGTTCATTTAAAATAAAACCAACCAACCAAGAATCTCCAAGCAAACAAAAAATGTCTCAGTTGTAAATTACAGACTTTTCCCTTCCTAGAAGTATTTTTTCTTTACTGTTTGTTCTTTAAAAATATTCTAGCCAGTGTAGAACCTTGGTAACATTCTAGCTAAGCCACAGACTTAGGAGATAGTAAATAGCATTTTCAGTCCCTTAATAAACATAATATGGTTTTTGTTTTTTAATATATTTTTATTGATTTCAGAGAGGAAGGGAGAGTGAAAGAGAGATAGACACACCAGTTATGAGAGAGAATCATTCATCGATTGCCTCCTACACGTCCCCTGCTCAAGATTCCTGTGCCCTGACTAGGAATCAAACTCTGACCTCCTGGTTCATAGGTTGATGCTCAACCACTGAGCAACACCGGCTGGGCTGGTTTTTCTATTTGGCACCTTGTCTTCAGTTCCTTTTTTCCTCTTTCTTTTGTGAAAGTACATAAAGGTAAAATTGGGGGGAAAAACAAGGCAGAACAAGATGTTGTGGTGATATCTAGTTCAGGATACAACACTTAAAAGTTCTTGATTAGGATTAAAAGTGCCTTTTAATGATATTAGAATAATGTGTTACAATCATTGTTATGATTTCTCATCATTAGGTAATAGCTAAGAGAAAAGAGGATTCTGGAAAGATAAAACTTTTGCTTCATTGGATGCCTGAAGACATGTAAGTATTTGGAATACTATGTGTAATTAATAGACTAATGTCTTTTATTAAAATCTCATACTCGCTCGGTCGGTGTAGCTCAGTGGTTGAGTGTTGACCTATGAACCAGGAGGTCATGGTTCGATTCCTAGTCCGGATACATGGCCAGATTGTGGGCTTAATCCCCAGTGTGGGCGTGCAGGAGGCAGCCAATCGATGATTCTCTCTCATCATTGATATTTCTCTTTATCTCCTTCTCTCTTTTTCTCTGAACTCATAAAAATATATTTAAAAATTAAATCTTATACTCAAAAATTACTTAACATTATTGGATTCAAATATAACAGAATTATGGAAATTAAACTATGAAATATTTTGAGGTCAGGATTAAAGAGATAATCTATGAAAGATTTTTAATTGGATGTAGTTATTTTTAGAATTTTCAATGGCCCGCAAGTAGTATGCAAGCAGCCTTAGTTGGCCCTTTGTTTGAATCATTTATTTAAAAAAAATTCTAAACATTTTCCAACCCACAGTGTTTTATAGAAAAAGCAGTTGACCAGGTTTTTAGCACCATTACATTTTTCTTGGTGTTTTAGTACCTTTTAGAGCACTTCTGACCCAGATGTTCCTTAATTTAGATTTTAGTTTTAATTTTCTTTTTATCCTTTTATTAAAAAATTTTCTCTTATTATAATAGGTAATAGAAGTATATTGTAGAAATTTTTAATGGAATTGATAAGCACCAAGAATAGAATAAATTTTTAAGAAGTAGAATCAAATTGTGTATACTTATTCTTCAAAAAATTAGCAATTTGTGGTAATATTTGTCCTGGATTTTGAAACCTTTTTAAAATTTTGTTTAATAAACTCTGTTTAAGAGAATGTTAATGAATGTGATGTGAATTAAATGTTCTTAAGTAGGTTTGTGAGTTTGCAGTGCACATTAGTATATCAATGTAAAGAAGTCCATTTAGTTTTTAAAAAATCCTTTGACTATTAAGCTTCTAATAGTGTAGAACATATTTTCCACCACTTTCTCCTCCTTCCCTTTCAGGTTTTATGGAAATTAAACTGTAGGACATTTTAAAAGTAATAATTTAAAAAAAAATTATCTTTCTTGTTGAAAGTATTACAGATGTCCTTTCTTCCCTTCTGGACCCCCTCCATCCAGTTCTCCCCTCCCCTAGGCCTTCGTTGCACTATTGTCTGTGTCCATGGATTATGCATATATGGGTTATGCATATATGCATATAAGTTCTTTGGTTAACCACTTCTCTTTGCCTCCATTTTTTATTTAAATCTATGCAAGTCTTTAAGCATACATTCATCATCCTACTAATTCCACTCCTACTTAAAGAGCTTAAAATGCATTTTAAAAACCTTTTTTAAAAGTTAAATTTATTGGGGTGACATTGGTTAATAAAATTATATAGGTTTCAGGTGTACAATTCTAGTGTACATCATCTCTATGTATATTGTATTATGTGTTCACCACCCCAAGTCAAGTTCCCTTACATCACCATTTATCCCCTTTATACCCTCTCCCACTCGCCCCTGGGAATTTCCATGCTATTGTCTGTATCTGTGAGTGGGGTGTGTGTGTGTGTTGTTTTGTGTTTTTTTTGCTTAATCTCTTCACCTTTTTCACCCAGCCTGGCAACCCACCTTCTCTCTGACAGCTGTCAGTCTGTTCTTTAATGAGCCTGTTTCTATTTTGTTCTTTAGTTTATTTTTTAAATTAGATTCCACATGAGTGAAATCATATGGTACTTGCCTTACACTGACTCGTGTAAGACATTTTCAAATGGTCCTGAAGCCTGGCTGGTGTGGGTCATTGGATTGAGCGGTTTCCTGTGCACCAAGAGTCACCGGTTCAATTCCTGATCAGGGCATATGTCCAAGGTTTGGGCTTGATCAGGAGGGAACGTGTAGGAAGCAGCCAATCGATTGTTGTTTCTGTCCCACTTCCTTTATCTCTATCTAAAAATCAATAAAAACATATTAAAAAAGTAAATACATGGCTCTGTAAAATGTATTTAATGAGCTGTTGTTGTTTTTTTCTGAACATTGAAGATACCCATTTTTCTTTACTGTTAAAGATATTCTAAAGTCTGCTAATATACAAACTATGCAAAATGTTACAGTTTTTGATAAGTATTGCCCTCCTGAATTAGAAATTTTTAGCAATTTCTAATCCCATCTACTACATTAGTTTTTTCCTCTTCTTTATTATCAACACTGGCTATTACATTCTTATATTTTTCATTTCTTTGATTACAAGTAAGATCATTTTTATTTTTTGTTGTTTGTTAATTCTCACCTGAGAATATTTTCCCATTGATTTTTAGAGAGAGTGGAAGGGAGGAGGAGAGACAGAGAGAGAAACATTGATGTGAGAGAGACACATCAATTGGTTGCCTCCTGCACCAGGGCTGGGGCTCAAGCCTGCAACTGAGGTTTGTGCCCTTGACCGGAATCGAGCTTGGGACCCTTCAGCTTAGGGCAGTAAGATCATTTTTAAACGGTTCATATCTTTGGTATATTGGTGGTTAGTGTGCTTTGTCTACCCTAGCCCTCTATCCCTAATGAATGTTCACCACCTCTTTCATACTGATTTGTAAGAGCTATTTTTATATATTAAGGTCATAAATATATAGGGTAGGGCAAAAGTAGGTTTATAGTTGTGAGTACATGAAACATGTGTTATTATTTACTATTGTATTACTTTTCACATGAACAACTATAAACCTGCTTTTGCCAACCCTATAGTTTCTTTATATACATATATTTAAATGTCTGTATTCTTGGTGTTCTGGAAATTGATCAATCCAAATATCAATTTGCTTTTATTTGAATTTCCTTATAGGATCACATTTCTTTGATTTTGGAATTTTGATTACAGCAAAATTTTTTAAAAAATATATTTTATTGATTTTTTTTACAGAGAGGAAGGGAGAGAGATAGAGAGTTAGAAACATCAATGAGAGAGAGAGAATCGATCAGCTGCCTCCTGCACACCTACTACTGGGGATGTGCCCACAACCAAGGTACATGCCCTTGACCGGAATCGAACCTGGGACCCTTCAGTCTGCAGGCCGACGCTCTATCCACTGAGCCAAACCGGTTAGGGCACATGTGCATTTTTTAAAAAGTGAAATTTGGTGGTGTTTTTACTTCTTATTTCTTCATGAAGAAACTCAGTATTAAATTTCCATCCTGTCAAGCTCAAATGTGAATTTCACTCAGCAAGCTAAAGGACAGGCAGTGTATAAGTTTGATATGACTTGGCTACTAAAAATTCCTAATGCATCCCAAATTTGTGCCTCAAATTTCACCCTGCTATTTCTCCTCATCCCACTACCTAGATTGTTAAGTTCATTTGGCTTATGAGAAGCTTGTTAATAACCTAGGCAGCCCTGTCAAACTAGCAGAAATGGCTGGGTAATATGAAGGTATATGAGTGGTAAATTTAAAATTAATGTTATTTGATGTATGGCTTGTTTTTTAATTTATAGTCTGCCTGACGTGTGGGTGAATGAAAGTGAGCGACATCAATTAAAAACTAAAGTAGTTCATTTATCAAAGCTACCCAAAGATACTGCCTTGCTTTTGGACCCAAACATATACAGGTAATTTAATTGTTGATTTGATGTTTTACTTTCTGAATTGTAATCTTTAAATCTCTCTAAATATTTGGTTTAAGGTTAGGATTTATTTTTTAAGTACTGAATTCAGTACCAAGCATAATCTTGTTTTCTCAAGCTTTCTATATGGCAGTTACATCACAAAGATTTATAAATTATAGAATTGAGAAAGATAGTATAGTACTGTTTGTTTTTAAGAGGTAGTTCCCAGTGTCTACGTTTCTAATAATTTTCTGCTTTGACCTTTGCTTTAGTGTCCTGTGCTTAGGGAGGTGTGAGGTGGGGTAGATATGGGGAAGAGACCCAACTTTCCTGACTATGCTAAGTTACTTTGTTAGGTGCTTTACATATACTTTACTCATGCAGCAGCCCTGTGAAGTAGGTGCCACTGTCTCTGTTTTACAGATCAGAAAACTGAAGCGAGAGGTTAGATAGCTTGCCCAAAGTTACACAGATATTATGTGACTGAACTCCATACTGCCTCTACCCAAATTTCAAAAGTGGTGAGCCCTAGCCGGTTTGGCTTAGTGGATAGAGCGTCGGCCTGTGGACTGAAAGGTCCCAGGTTCGATTCCGGTCAAGGGCATGTGCCGGGGTTGCGGGCTCAATCCCCAGTGGGGGCGTGCAGGAGGCAGCCATTCAATGATTCTCTCTCATTATTGATGTTTCTCTCTCTCCCTCCCTTCCTCTCTGAAATCAATAAAAATATATTTAAAAGTGATGAAAATGCTTTAATGGCAGTCTTTCAAAAAACTTTTTTTATTGATTTTAGAGAGAGGGAGAGAGATAGAAACATCAGTAATGAGAGAATCATTAATCGACTGCCTCCTGCACGCACACACACGCACACGCACATGCACACATGCGCTTGAGTCTGTAACTGAGACATGTACACTGACTGGGAATTGAACTGTGATGTCCTGGCATAGGTTGATGCTCAACCATTGAGCCACACCAGCCTGGCTAAAGGCACTATTAATGAACAAAATTTCTATTTAAGATAAATTTTAATTTAGTATTTATTTTATAATAGGAATAGATTGGATAAGAATAAGAGGACATATAAAAATTTGGGATAATCCCAAATGTGAATTTTAGCTATCATAAGGAGACTGCCAGATTTTGAAGTAATCAACACTTTGAACATTTGGTTCATTCCACGACACAACTTTTTGGAGTTTTAGTCAATGCAGTAAGATTTCTATAATTTGAGACATCTTCTGAGAATGAAATTCTAACATAATGGGCCTTGCCATGTGGAAACACTGAGACTCAGGTTTTCCTACTCCAAAAATAAATTTTAAAATATCTTTTGGTGAAAGTGCTAAGTTCAATAAAATCTTGTTTCTGTGGACCCAGCTGGGTTATCAAGAAATTAACTGGTATAGAGAACAATGAAATATCTTAAGGAAGAAGATTGAGGTAAATCTACCACCGAAAATACAGAAAAGTCACTATTTAAGAAATAATTGAATATTGTTTATTTACTGTTACCTAATTTAAGGTTATTTCTGGTTCCTCTTTGAAGGATGTAATTAAAATTAGCATTCGAAAAGAGTGATATTTTGGGAGAGCCACCCTGCTATTACAACTGGTTGTAAACATCTCCTAGGCAGAGTTGACAAAGGGGCATGAATCTTAATTATATTATTAAGACTAACTTCAGTGTTTCTGCTCTGCCTTGTACTTCCCCCTCTCTAAGGGTCTCCTTTCTCACAGAACCAGCACCCCCCCCCTTCTTGTGCTCTAGAGGAAGCAATTTAGATATTATAGTGAAAGTGACTTAAAAAAATCATTCAAGCTCAGAACTGTTGATGTTATAGTGCATAGGAATTGCATGTTCTCAGTGTAATTCTACAGTACTTACTGATTTCGTTTTTGGGTAATGAATGATGTTCTTAACACATGTAGGTACTTCTGTGGAGGTGTGTTTTTTTTAACTACCTCAATCTTAACATTTGAGTCTAAACTTTCATGCTTCTGGTATTCTGAAAGTTAGAATTTAGTTTACCCTAAAGTAGTACAGAGTAATAGAACTCCTTACATTTATTGTGATGTAGCATTAACAATGTTTTGAATTTTGGTAGGGAAAACTTGTGAAATTAAGTAAAAGGGGGTAAAGCAGTTATTCTAACTAGTTTTAGGAGAAATAATTTGTTTATGCACATTTCAAAATGAAAGCATGCAAACCTTCTAAAAATATCTTAAAAAGACTAAAAAGAACCTATTTAATTGAGATTTTAAAACATTAGTTTCGGTAGTATTAGTTGGTTAAAATGTATGTGTTAGACGTGAAATGCTTTTTTAGAAATACACTAGCAGGCTACTACATAAAAAGGATTAATTAAAAGGCTATACTATGTAACTAAATTTGTACTCATTATGTGTGAATGCTTTGGAAATAAACTTTAATGATGATCAATGATCATCACATTGCTTATATTTTATAAATATTTTTAATGTCTCTTGGAATACTTAGTGTGTTTTGATATAGTTGAATAAAAGAACATTCCTTTTTCTCTTTTTCTAGAACAATGCCGCAGAAGAGGTTGAAGAGGTAAAAAATAAATAAATACATAAAAAGCAAACAAGCGGGGACACCTGCAGTCTTAGTCACTGACAATGGGTTTAGTAAAAGTTGCACATTAGACTCAATCCCCTTCCTCTTTTTTAATCCAATATTTTAGAATAATATTTATGCTTAGTGTAAACATTCTGTGAATGAAGTAGGCTCTTCTGTGGAATATATTAATATATTACTGTATGTCCACATTTTCATGGAATGGTACTGTGGGAGACTGAGCAAACACTCTTTTGGCAACTTAGTGGAGTAGCTTCTTAAAGGCTTTGCATGCTTGCTGCTTTAAGCTGCTTTTTTCCCCTTTAGTGATTGCAGTAGTTTATATTGAAAGAAAAAACAATTACAACGTGTGCCCATACAAATACCAAAAGCACTGTAAGGATATTTATCTTGACAGTGTCTATCGATTTGACGTCATATTAGGACATATTAGGCAATGAAAATTATCAATTATAAATAGATGTGATTGGTTGCCATTTGTGTTCTTTTGCAGAACTCTGATAAGAAAAGTGTTCAATTTGTATTTAAGCAAACAGTGAACGACATTTGCAATCAACTAAATATTCGTCTTTCGAATTAGGGCTGCAAATTTCTGTTAAAGAGTGTTGCCGTATGTCTGGTGGCTCCCTTTTCAGGACTAGGGTTTTCTAATGGAGTACAGTATGTTAATATTTACCTATATAACTAATCTGTTAACGGTTTTTGAAAAACCTTTATTTCAAATATTTTAATAATCCTCTATTTTCATTTTAACCTACATAAGCCTCTAATTTTTTTTTCTGAGGAAAGCATTTGGTTAATTAGTTTTTTCTTAACATAAGAAAAATTGTATTTTTTAAGTGTTGTCAAACTGAATGAATCCTTTATGCACCAAAGTTGGTTTTGAAAAAGAAAATAAAATCACTTTCTTGCTTGGTTAAGCAAGAAGCCATATGGATTTTTTTTTTAACTTACAGAAATGGAAATATGTGTAACTTGTTAGTATTGTATCAAACAAATGTTGCATAGAGATAATAGAACATTGCTTGTAAATAATTCAGCAGATTTGTAATATATTTTTATATTATGAAATGTACTGTAGATGTTTTTCCAATTTTTACTGTTGGAAGGACATATTGTAAAGTATGTGGTTATATGCAGTCAAACTGCAGAAAATACTCCTGATTGAGGAGTTTTCACTTTACTACAGTGATATAAAAACCAGCAGTTTTTACACTAAATTTTTAAAGAATAGACAAAAATATAGAACCAAGCCTTTGGTTCCAAAATGGGAAAGTTTCATGATACATAAATCATATCTCGTTTACTTTAAAATATTTTAAAATAAAAGTTATGGGGACTTTATTCGTAAACAATGGGGTAAAGAGCTATATACGTGAAATGAGTCATATAAAATGAAATGAAGTGCAAATAAAAGCACTGGTACTATAAGACATTCTGGAATGGTTGTTTAATAAGGGTATTATCTATATGATCTGTAGCAAATGTGATTTTATTTTTAAAAAGAAAAGAAAAGCAGTGTGTTTTCTTACCGTTTTTGTTTCTTTTGCTTAAGCACTTCATTAATTGCTTTATTCTGTATCTGGAAGTAATCTGCAATCTTCTTTGTTCTTTTTAAGTTTTGGTTTGTTAAAAAATTGCCAAATAGAAGTGTTTCAGATATATAGTTTGTACCTGTATTTTTTATTTTATTGCCTCATGTTCTTGTAAGTCATTCTTAATTGACCAATGATTGTAGACCTTGCTGAGTATTTTTTCTAATAAAACAAAACCAAATCACATTTAGCTTCAAAATTGTAACAATTAAATTTTAAAACAACACCTGAAATATACATCTAATATTTTCTTTAGGGATCCAGTACATAAAAGTTTTTTCATTGTGTAGAAATATTTAGATGTCAAAACCAAATTTCATGGTTCTTGATTAGCCTCCGAGTACTCACTCATGGTACTTTGCTGCTTATCTGAGTTTAGTCTGATTCTATTAACACACCAAAAAATATGGAATTAAAATGAATGAAAGTGTATTTAATTTGTATGTAAACATTATTACACACCATCAATTATGATTGGCAAGTAAATTTGAACATTTTTTTTTAATCCTCACCTCAGGATATGCTTTTATTGATATTTAGAGAGTGAGGACCAGGGGGATTGAGCGAGAGAGAAACATCCATGAATCGAACTCACAACCTTTTTGGTTCATGAGATGACACCAACCAACTGAGCCACTTGGCTTACGGCCTACTTGTGAACATTTTAATTAAGTTTCTTGAATGACATCTATCCATCTATTTTGTTCCTCCTAACTTCCATATATGACATTTATAATATGGTACCTGAAATATAATTTAGTCTCTTATTCAAAATCCATTGTTTAGCCCAGTGGTGGTCAGACTGCAGTCACGGGCATACCCATTCATTGATGTGGTGTCTACGCTTGCTCTCTTCCTATAGTTTCAGAGTGGAGCAATGAGACCGTTTGGCCTGCAAACCTAAAATAGTTACTCTCTGACCTTTTAAGGAAAAACTTGCCAATCCCTGGTACAGATGATAAAAGTTTTGGAAAAATAAACCTAGTCCACAGAGCCTACATTTTAATATAATAGTTTTAATCTTGGTAAAATGAACCAGTACATTGCATTTCAGTGAAAGCTGCTTCATATACTTTAAAAATGGCCATTTTAGGTAACTGCAACAAGTGGTGTTTTTGCCTTTTTGGTATTTTTTTTACACTTTCACATTGGGTTTCTTAATAGTTATTAATATTTCACCTTTTGTTTTTGTGTGTTTTGTTTTACTAAGTAGGACTAAAGGATATTTTATAAATCAGGTCTTGTTTAAACCACAAGGCATATATTGCTCTATCTAAAACAATCTTGGAAGTGGAAAATATTGTAAAATTGAAAGTTGTTTATTTTTTTAAAATAAACTTTTCATATCTAAATCTTCCCTAAAGTGGACACACATTGCTTCTGAGTTTCAGATGAAAGGAAATTAAGATGGGGATTAATGAACTCTAAATGTGTATTTTAAGATTTGGTTTATTCTCATTGAAAGCAATGATAATCATATCAGTAAAGTGCTGACTGTAAAATTATTTTTTCGTTTACACTTTAATGCTTTAAATATTCAAGTACTCTTAAAAGGATGTAATTTGCAACGATTAATTTATCTTTTATTGTTTGCTATTTGAAATTTTAATAATACAGTTAACAAAAGTTAGATACTTGAATACAATATAAAAATGGGAAAATATGGTCAAAAGTCTTTAAAACAGTTCTCTAAAAGGCAAACAAATTCTTATATTGTAAAACTGATGTTTATCTGAATAACAAAGCCTAGGGTTTTGAAGACAAGTATATTTTGGGGGGTTTCAATGAAAAATATTTTTTAAAATGTTCAGAAAATAATTTCTTAGGACAAATTTTTGTTAAAAATTTTCTTATGTATATGACTTTTTTGAATCCTCGTTTATAAATTAATTTTTATTGACTTCAGAGAGGAAGGGAGACGGAGAGAGAGGTAGAAACATCCATGATGAAGAGAGACTCTCAGATCACTTGGGCGGCATGGTAATCTAACCATGACCTGGTTCATAGGTCAGCGCTAAACCCAACCACACTGGTTGGGTGGAAAGAATCTTAATTTAGGGCCAAGGAAATATTAACCACATTTTGCTCATCTTTTTCCTTGGCTGATTCCAAACAATTCCCAGTTATTAATACAACTTCTGTTGCCTAGTGATTGAAATTACTTGTAATTTATGACAAACAACAAGGTAAATATGATACAAAACCATTTGAAGTATCTTATCCTCACTTACTCCTTCTCTAATGCTCTGCTTTTCTTTATGTAGATACTGACGTGGATGAGAAAGGGGCCACATACTAAACCTGACAGGCTTAGATCCTACATACTCAGAAACCAAAAATAGCCACATAGGATATTCTGAACATAAAACTTCCTAACCAAAAATGAGTCATCCTAGGCCTTTAGCTTCCTTAACAAAGGTCATTCTTTACCTTAAAGTGATCCTTTTGCATCTAAAATAACATACCTTTGCAATGTCAGAGTAAACCCCATATTCAGGAACACTTCCCCTGCCAGAACAGGAGACCATAGAACCCCTCATTGTTATCTTGTTCCCCAGGTACCATCCCTAAGTGCTGTAAATGTTATCCTACACCAGTGGTCGGCAAACCGTGGTTCGCGAGCCACATGCGGCTCTTTGGCCCCTAGAGTGTGGCTCTTCCACAAAATACCACGTGCGGGCACGCACATACAGTGCGAAGTTGACTTAAAACTTTAAAGTTTATTAAGTTAATTTTAGGGAACGTTGTGGAGTGGAAGAAGATTGTAGTGTCAAGGATTGAGAAAGGTATGTTGAGATGGTTTGGACACAGGATGAACGAAAGGAGATAGACGAAACAAGTATACGAGTGCGGATGGGAGAGTTGGAAGGGGGTCGACTTCAGTGAACGTACCCAATCAGATTGAGGACGTTTTTAGCAAAGGCCAACTTAGGAGTACCCTAATTAAGTTAATTACAATGTACCTACCTATAATAGTTTAAAAAATTTGGCTCTCAAAAGAAATTTCAATCGTTGTACTGTTGATATTTGGCTCTGTTGACTAATGAGTTTGCCGACCACTGTCCTACACCCACCAATCTAAAGAAAGTGTCTCTTTATATCCAATTCCAGAGATTTTGCTGTTTTGTTTTCTTCTGCCTCCCTAATCTACCAGCAATAGATTTCACGTAACCCCTTTACGTCTTCTCTTTTGCTTCTAATGTATAAAGTTGTAAAACTGCTATTCTTTGGAGCATTTTCTCAATCCGTTGAAATTTTGCTTCCCAGCAATTGTCATCTTGACTGAAATTAAATCAAAACTTCTCTACAGGTTCGGACATTTCTTATGTCAACACTGACCTATATATCATATCCTTCTCTCTGAAATTCAATTTCTTGCAAGGCAGGCATCAAATTCTCCCAATTTTTGTTTGTCTGAAAAAGTCTTTATTTCTCCTTCACTTTTGAAGGATGGTTTCACAGAGTAAAGAATTAATAGGTTGGTGTTTTTGTTTTTCTTTCATTACATATTTCACTTTCTTCCATAGCATGGTTTATGAGGAAATGCCTGCTGCTAGTCTATCTTTGCTCCTCTACATATATGGTATTTTTGCACCCTTCTTTCAAGAATATTTTTTCTTTTATTTTTCTACAATTTGAATATAATAGGCCTAGTTGTAGATTTTGGGGGGAGGGGGGGCATTTATCCTTATTCTGTGTTTAGCTGCCTGACATTAATTTGGGGGAAATTCTGTCATTATTGCTTCCAATATTTCCTCTGTTCCTTTTTCTCTTCTGGTATTCTCCTCACACATATGCTAAGCCTTTGTAGTTGTCCCGAAGTTTGTGTCTATTCTGTTCCCCTTTTCCTTAGTCTTTAAAAAAATACTTTGCTTTTCAGTTTTGGAAATTTCTTTTGATATATTCCCAAGCTCACAGATGCTTTCCTTAACTGTGTCCAGTCTAATGAACCCATCAAAGTCATTTTTTCATTATTTCTATTATTGTGTTTTTATTTCTAGGATTTCTTCTTGAGTCTTTTAATTTCTGTCTTTCAGCTTACTTTAGCCATTGGTTCCTGAAAGTTGTCTACTTTTCCATTAGTATGTTGATACGTATTATCTTAGCATATTGATGTAATTATTTTAAATTCCTGGCCTGATAATTCCGACGTGCCTGCTGTATCTGAGTCAGCTTGCTTTTTGTCTTTGAAATGTGTTTTTTTACATTTTGGCATCCATGTAGTAATTGTTTGTTGAAAGCTGGACATGATGTGCCTGCTAAAGAACCACTCTCAATAGGCTTTAGTGATGTGGGGAGGTGTGTGTGTGTGTGTGTGTGTGTGTGTGTGTGTGTGTGTGTGGTGTGTGTGTGTGTGTGTGTGTGTGTGTGTGTGTTTGTGTGTGTGGTGGTGGGGGTGGTGGGGGGAATGAGCCTGTGCCCCTGGGCTATGACCTTCACAAGGGCCTCTCAGGTTTTTGTGGTGGTGGTTGTTTTTAACCAAAGGGGAGGTTTATTATTAAGGTGAAAGTAACAAAGCTCTAGGCTGGAGGAGACCCAAAAAGGGTTGCCAGGCCTCGCAGTGTTTCCTTCCTTAGGTGGAGCAGGATGGCTGGAGGTGGCTGTAGTTGGGTATTTGCCCTTCTCCCACCTGGAAGACTTCTCCCAGGTCAGTTAGGCCCCAACAAAACTTCAGTAGGGTTAGGTTCTGGTGAAATAGTTTCCCTAAAGGGCAGGCCTCCTTAAGAACTGCAGAATGTACCACTGGTGTGGCTCAGAGGTTGAGCAATGACCCATGAACCAGGAGGACATGGTTCTATTGTCAGTCAGGGCATATGCCAGGGGTGTGGGCTTGATCCCCAGAAGGGGGTGGGCAGGAAGCAGCCAATGAGTCTCATCATTGATGTTTCTATCCTCTCTCTTTCCTCTCCCTGAAATCAATTAAAAAACAAACTGCTGAATACTTTGGGTCTCTTTGAAAATGGCTACTTTCCCGTCCTCTGGCAAAAGGAAGAGGGGACTTTCCCTGTCTTTGCTGTGAGAATCTGGTAGGACTCCTGGGGGTAAAACACAAAGTGTGTGTGGGGCTGGGGGCTTGTGTATGACGGTCCCTTGGAGTTTTTAACTCCACCGTATCCACACTGAGCTTTCAGCAGTTCGCCAACTATAGTTTAGGTTTTCCTGCCCCACTGCTGGTTCCCATGGAGGTTC